TGTGTGGTAATTTGTTGCAGCAGCCACGGGAAACTAGTATTGTAGTGAAGCCTCAAAACCCACCTGAAGGGGCTGGGCACAGTGGCTTACACCTGCAATCCCAGCACTTTGGGAGGCCGAGGTGGGTGGATCACTTGAGGTCAGGAATTTGAGACCAGCATTGCCTACATGGTGAAACCCCATCTCTAAAAAAAATACAAAAATTAGCCGGGCGTGGTGGCACATGCCTATAATCTCAGCTACTCAGGAGGCTGAGACATGGGAACTGTTTGAACCCAGGGTGGGGCGGAGGTTGCAGTGAGCCAAGATTGCACCACTGCACCGCACCCTGGGTGACAGAGCGAGGCTCCATCTCGACAACAACAGCAACAACAACAAAAAACTCCACCTGAAGAAGGTTTCCAGTTCTGTCAACAGTGCCCCACGAAACCCCTTAGAAGCACACACTCCTTTCCTGTGGGCCATGGACAGGAAGAAGAAAGCACTTCCTCATGGTAGAGGCCTACCCAGGAGAAACTCAAGGGAAGGCACTGCCAGGCCAGTCCTTCTGCCAAGGCCATTTTCTTTTTGTTTTTGTTTTTGTTTTTTTGAGACAGTTTCACTCTGTTTCCCAGGCTGGAGTGCAGTGGCACAATCTCGGCTCACTTCGACCTCCGCCTCCCCAGTTCAAGCGATTCTACTGCCTCAGCCTCCCAAGTAGCAGGGATTACAAGAGCATAGCATGCCTAGCTAATTTTTGTATTTTTAGTAGAGATGGGATTTTCCTATGTTCCCCAGGCTGGACTCAAACCCCTCACCTCAAGTGATCCACCTATCTCAGCCTCCCAAAGTGCTGACGAGTGAGCCACTGCACCCAGTACTCACCAAGGCCTTTGATGGCAGGCTTTTTCCAGGTGATCACTCCTTGTCTGGTCTGCTTCTGCCCCATTCTCCCTCTCACTAAGTTGGAATCCCTCGCTACTTTTCAGTAGAGGGGCGTGTGTACCCCAATCTCAACTTGATATGATTCAGATCTGCATTTAACTCATGAAACCTGGCTGATCCTCAAGCCCTGGAGAAAAAAAGGGTCTTTCTGCGGGTATGACACAGAATGGGCCTGTCCCCAGGACCCTCGGAGAGGGAAGTCCAATGTCCCATCAGGTTGGCAGCGCTGGGGAAGGGAAAGTGTTATGGTAGCCCCAAGACTAAAAGGAGGCAGCAAAGGGAGCAGGACATCATTCCCATTGAACTCATGCCACTGCCTGAGTGAGGTGAGGGAGGAGTGCACCCGAGTGACATGAGGGGGCAGAGAGGCGTGGTTCCAGGATGGCCTTCACCCGCCCTTCCTGCCATGTTACTCTGATCCCCTGCAGGTGAGCCTCCCCACTTTGGGCTTAGGGCTGCCACACAGGCATGTACTCAAATGCAGCCCCTCATGCATCATGGCTCCAGGAGTGGGGCAGAGCACGGAGGAGTCCTCAACAAACGAGAGGCCAGGGCAGGAGGGAGTGGGCCTCAAATTCCAGGAGGGGGCCCTTCTCCTGGGTCCTCTTTTCCGGCCTCTCCTTCCTTACCCCTGGGCTGATCACCTGGGAAGAACTGAGACAAGGTTTCTCATCCTCAGGTCTGAGGGGTTCATGTATCTGGGATTACAGGCATGCACCACCACGCCTGGCTAATTTTGCATATTTAGTAGAGACAGGGTTTCTCCATGTTGGTCAGGCTCGTCTCGAACTCCTGACCTCAGCTGATCTGCCCACCTCTGCCTCCCAAAGTGCGGGGATTACAGGTGTGAGCCACCGAGACTGGCCAAGAAATCCTTTTTTAAAAACAAGCTGGGCTTGGTGGCTCATGCCAAAAATCTCAGCACTTTGGGAGGCCGAGGTGGGTGGATCACTTGAGGTCAGGAGTTTGAGACAAGCCTGGGCAACATATGTAATCCCATCTTTACTTAAAAAAAAAAAAAAAAGTGTGTGTGTGTGTGTGTGTGTGTATATATATATATAAAAAATAAATTAGCCAGGTGTGGTGGTGGGCACCTGTAATCACAGCTTCTCAGGAGGCTGAGGCAGGAGAATCACTTGAACCTGAGAGGCAGAGGTTGCAGTGAGCCGAGATCATGCCACTGCAATCCAGCCTGGGTGACAACAGTGAGACTCCATCACAAAAACAAAAACAGATTCCATCTCAAAAAATAAATAAATAAATAAAATAAATAAACCCAAAAACAAATGTGGTATGGCAATGGAAATACTGCATTAAAGACAGTCTCATAGAAAATAAAAGACCACTCAGATACAATAAGCTGTCCTTTTAGATAAGTATACTTGTTATTCTTGTTTTACAGCTGAAGAAACTCGTTCAGAGAATGTTATATGATTGGACCGTGTTGCATTTCTGGACAGTGCAGCTGAGGTAAGTCTTCATGTGTAACTCCAGTAGCCTACCAGGGTGCCTCTCATGAAGGTAAGAAATGTAAATTTGGCCTAACATACAAAGTTGCCAGGGCAGCACTGGGTCAATTCTACATACAGTACTTCTATGTTCATCAAGGGAAACCTTAAGTGAAGGCAAAAATGCTTCTAGAATGCAACTGGACTCTTTCTCTAAGGCCAATAGTGACCTGAAATTACTGTTTCAATCAAGTGGACAAAATGGTACTAAGGTCATAAACATCAGACAAATTCACTTGAGGACCTATCTATGTGCTTTGAAAGACAAAACTGCTTTTGTAAAGGATACTGTATTTCAGAAAAAACAAAATCATATTAACAACTAATAACACTGTAAAATGCTGATGTGTTGAATGCTACTTTAGAAAAACATGTTCAAATCTAGGAAAAAAATTTCCGATAGAAAACTACGTATTGGGCCGGGCGCGGTGGCTCAAGCCTGTAATCCCAGCACTTTGGGAGGCCGAGATGGGCGGATCACGAGGTCAGGAGATCGAGACCACCCTGGTTAACACGGTGAAACCCCATCTCTACTAAAAAATACAAAAAAACTAGCCGGGGGAGGTGGCGGGCACCTGTAGTCCCAGCTACTCGGGAGGCTGAGGCAGGAGAATGGCGTGAACCTGGGAGGCGGAGCTTGCAGTGAGCTGAGATGGAGCCACTGCACTCCAGCCTGGGCGACAGAGCAAGACTCTGTATCAAAAAAAAAAAAAAGGAAAAAGAAAACTACGTATCCGCTGAGCACGGTGGCCCATGCCTGTAATCCCAGAACTTTGGGAGGCTGAGGCAGGCAGATCAAGAGGTCAGGAGTTCAAGACCAGCCTGACCAACATGGTGAAACCCCGTCTCTACTAAAGATACAAAAAGTTAGCTGGGGGTGGTGGCGGGCACCTGTAGTCCCAGCTACTCGGGAGGCTGAGGCAGGAGAATGGCGTGAACCTGGGAGGCGGAGCTTGCAGTGAGCTGAGATGGAGCCACTGCACTCCAGCCTGGGCGACAGAGCAAGACTCTGTATCAAAAAAAAAAAAAAGGAAAAAGAAAACTACGTATCCGCTGAGCACGGTGGCCCATGCCTGTAATCCCAGAACTTTGGGAGGCTGAGGCAGGCAGATCAAGAGGTCAGGAGTTCAAGACCAGCCTGACCAACATGGTGAAATCCCATCTCTACTAAAGATACAAAAAGTTAGCTGGGCATGCTGGCGTGTGCCTTTAATTCCCAGCTACTCAGGATGCTAAGGCAGGAGAATCGCTTGAACCCAGGAGGCAGAGGTTGCAGTGAGCCAGTGAGGCAAGATTGCACCACTGCACCCCAGCCTAGGTGACAGAACAAGACTCTGTCAAAAGAAAGAACGAACGAAAGAACGAAAGAGAAAGAAAGAAAACTATGTATCAATTATCTAGCTAGCTAACTATCTAGAGACAGGCTTTCATTCTATTGCTCAGGATGGAGAGCAGTGGGATGATCGTAGCTCACTGCAGCCTTGAGCTCCTGGCCTCAAGTGATGCTCCTGCCTCAGCCTCCTAAGTAGCTAGGGCCACAGGTGGACATATTTACGCCTGGGTTTTTTGTTTGTTTTATAGAGACGGGGTTTCACTACATTGCCTAAGCTGGTGTTAAACTTTGGAGTCTCACTGTGTCACCCAGGCTGGGGAGCAGTGGTGAGATCTCAGCTCACTGCAACCCCCGCCTCCCAGGTTCCAGTGATTCTCCTGTATCAGCCTCCCGAGTAGCTGGGACTTCAGGCACGCACTGCCACACCCGGCTACTTTTTGTATTTTTTGTAGAGACTAGGTTTCACCATGGCCAGGCTGGTCTTGAACTCCTGACCTCAGGTGATCCACCTGCCTTGGCCTCCCAAAGTGGAGGCCAGCACCGTGCCTAGCTAAATTTTGTATCTTTTGTAGAGACGGGGTTTCGTCCTGTTGCCCAGGCTGGTCTCGAACTCCTGAGCCCAAGCCTTCCATCCTCCCGCCTCGGGCTCCCAAATGCTGGGATTACAGGGCCCAGTCAGCCTCATGTTTTATTTAAGCAGTCCCTTTCTGTTGCACACTTGGATCGTTTTTTTAATTTTTTTTTAGACAGGATTTACCTCGGTCTTGCAGGCTGGAATGCTGTGGTGGGATCATAGCTCATTGGAGCCTTGAACCCTGGGGTTCAAGTAGCTGGGGGTGCTGAGGTAGGACTACAGAGATCGGGTCGCGCCATATTGCTAGGCTGCTCTTGGACTGAAGGGATCCTCCCACCTCGGCCGCACCCGGACTGTTTTCTAGTTTTGATCGACATAAACACTGTGCTCGGTCTGAGTTTTTCAGCTACCCTTCTCCAGCCAGCAACACACAAGACCTGGCGGGGAGGTAGTGGTTACCAGACTCCACACTGAGAAGACCGCCCAGCTCCAGGTACTGTAACGCCCGGTGACGTTACCTAACGCCCGGGTGTGTGACGTCGCCAAAAGCCCACCTGTACGGCGTCGCCAAAGGCGCGCCCCTGTAACGACACCGAGGACCGCCTCTCACGCGGAGCCAATCGGAACTGGCGGCAGGGCTGCGGGGGGGGGGGAGGGGGGCTTCCAGGAGCGCATGCGCGGATGTCTGGCCACAGGTGGCCTGGCAGGCTGTAACCGGCCGCTGAGCGGGCGTTTTTGTGTCCCGAGGCTTGGGCCTGGCAGCCTAGTCCGTAAGCTAAGAAGAGGAGCTTTACGACTTGGCCTGGCGCAGCAAAGGCCAGACTCAGAGCCAGCAGGCGCTGGGCACCAAGCGGCCGGCGCCTGGCGGGCACGATCGCACGGTCGCTCGGAAGCTCCTCAATGGCCAGCGCCAACTGCAGCCCAGTCAGCAGCCCCCCACTCGCCTCTTCTGAGCTTGGGTACCTGCGCCCCACAACACCTCCCCAACCAGGGCCCGGAGACCCCGGGGATCGTCTCCTGCTACCTGGCGCCGCTCATCCTGGGCAGGGTAGGCCCCCTCTGAGGCTGCCCCTCATTGGGGAGCTGCACCCCGAGCTTGACCTCTGAAGGCCCTTTGCAATAGCATTAAGGCTTTGAAACTTTGTAGCAGGGTAGAAGGGGCCTGGAAACGAAGAAAACATCTTTTTAAAAATATAAGCGATCGGCAGGGCGCGGTGGCCCACGCCTGTAATCCCAGCACTTAGGGAGGCCGAGGCGGGTGGATCACGAGGTCAGGAGTTCAAGACAAGCCTGGCCAGCATGGTAAAATCCCGTCTCTGTTAAAAATACAAAAATTAGCTCGGCGTAGTGGCCGGCGCCTCTAATCCCAGGTACTCGGGAGGCTGAGGCAGAGAATTGTTTGAACCCGGGAGGTGGAGGTTGCAGTGAGCCTAGATCGCGCCACTGTACTCCAGCCTGGGCGACAGACTGAGTCAACGTCTAAACAAACAAATATATATGTATATGTATATATATGTGTGTGTGTATATATATGTATGTGTGTGTGTGTGTGTGTGTGTGTGTATGCGACCGAGCCCAGGAGGTTGAGATTACAGTGAGCCGTGTGTGTGTGTATATGCGACCGAGCCCAGGACGTTGAGATTACAGTGAGCCGAGATTATATAAACGCTCAAGCACAGGAGGTTGAGGTTACAGTGAGCCGAAATTGCGCCACTGCACTCCAGTCTGTATGACAGAGGGAGACTCTGTCTCGAAAAAATTATATGCAAGTGAGAGCGTTTCTTCCAGCGCTCATGCTCAAATTGAAGAAAGTAATTGGGCCAGCACCAGTGGCTCACGCCCGTAATCCCAAAACTTTGGGAGGCCGAGGCCGGCGGATCACTTGAGCTCAGGAGTTCCAGACTAGCTTGGGCAACATGGTGAAATGCTGTCTCTACAAAAATACAAAAAATTAGCTGGGCATGGTGGCACGCGCTTGTAGTCCCTGCTACTTGTGGAGCTGAGACAGGAGGATCGCTTGAGCCTCAATCCTCGCTGCAGCCTCCACCTCCTGGGGTCAAGCAATCCATTTCAGCCTCCCAAAGTGCTGGGATTACAGGAACAAGCCATCGTGCCTGGCCTTACACTGTATTTTAATGCTTTTTTTTTTTGAAAATGGAAACTTTTACAGGCAATTCACTTCCTTCAA